ACGTGGAGAGATGGGGTGGGGGGGACAAGGCGCGGAGCAGGAGGGGGAGAGAAAGAAGCAGGGAGGGAGGGGAGGACATTCATACGGTCTCAAAGCACCTTCCTTAAAACACGTGTTAACGGTAAAGGGCAGCAGAGCAGCTTCACAGCGAGGTCCAGGAACCTGTCTCAGTCCCGTAGTTAAACGAAACCTCCCCAGCAATGGGACAAAGGCAAAGCTGAGGACACCTGCCGGCAGGTGAGAGGGGACACCTGCCAGCAGGTGAGGAGGGGACACCTTCCAGCAGGTGAGAAGGGAGCGTGGCACGGAGCCCGTGCTGTTCCCTGCAGGGGCAAACCCCGAATGGGGTCAGACAAACCCACACAGGGGACATTCTGCAAAAGGAGCCTGGACCTCCCGGAGTGCCACGGCCACCAAAACTAAAGAAGGGCTGAGCAGGGTCCCAGGCCGAGAGGCGGAAACAAGAGCAGGCCGCACAGCACCGAGGGTGCCCCTGCAGCTGAGGGCATCCACTGGGACGACCACGGAAGCCTGAAGGGACGACGGATCGCTGCGGCCTCCCGGGTTGCGATGGCCGCGCCGGGGTGACAGAGGAGAGTGCCCTTGTTCACAGCACACTCGGTGAACCTCCAGCGGTGCACAGCACCAAGTTGCCAACTTACCCTCAAATGGCTCAAAAAAAGTTATTTGTACTGCACTTATAACTTTTCCATGAGTCAAAATGTTTTTAAAAATGAAATCTATCAAAAAAGAGCAAAGAAGAAATGAAAAGCTTCCTTGTCTCCCTGACAGCCTTCCTTCCTCTGCCCCCCGCCGCCTGTGTCTCCTGCCTCAGCCACACCAGCCCAGCACCTCCCGCCTGCACTGGCCTCTCTCTGGGTAATTGAATGTCACTTTTTCAGTCAACAAGCATGTCATCCACACCCAGTGGGTGCCCCTGCTTGACTAGAAGCTCCACGAGAGCAGGGATGGACCCAGCCTGCTCCTCGCCCCTCACCAGGCACAAACCCGCGTGGCACGTGGCAGGGGCTCGGAGATCACTCCTGGCTGAAGGGACAGAGCGGAGGGAGGCCAGGCTTGTCGCGCCACAGCCCTGCCTCGGGGGCTCACTGCCCATGCCGGCAGCCTTTGCTCTCACTGTGCTCTGGGTTCTGCAGAGCAAGCGGTGAGGGTGCTCGAGTGACAAACAGTGGGCAGTGCAAGGCCACAGACACACCCGCAACACTGAGAGCCGAGAGCCAGGCTCGGGACGCCAAGGGACCGGCGGGGGGGAGGGGGAGCTCAGAGGCAGCTTCCCAGAGGAGGGGCCCCTAAGCCAGCTCCTACGGGAAGGGCCAGGCTGGAAGAGGAGTCTTTCAGCAAGGACACAGCATGCGACGGGCACAGATGGAACAGGCGTGGAGGGAGGATGCCAAAAGTGGCCAGGCTGGAGTGTCAGGGAAAAGGCAGGAGCACGAGCTCAGGTGGGGGACAAACCCCAGCCACACTGGGTGGTATGGGCAGGTCAAAGGTCAGGCAGGTGGTGCCCCAACAGTGAAAGGTGCAAGCGCTGTCTGCTGGCCCGGGCCACCTCCGGACCTCCCAACCGAAGCTGCTCCAGACACGGTGGGTCTCGCATCAGCATCAGCAGATTGTGCCCATATCTAATTAGTTTAATTAAACCCACAGTGGCTCCCAGCCATTTTGAATAAAAAAATAAAATAAGGTCGGGCGTGGGTGGCTCACGCCTGTAATCCCAGCACTTTGGGAGGCCAAGGCAGGAGAATTGCTTGAGCCCAGGAGTCCGAGACCAGCCCGGACAACATAGCGAGACCCCATCTCCACAAAAAATAGAAGAATTAGCCAGGTGTGGTGGAGCAAGCATCTGTAGTCCCAGTTACTCAGGAGGCTGAGGCAGGAGAATCCTTTGAGCCCATGACTTTGAGGCTGCAGTGAGCTGTGATTGCACCACTGCCCTCCAGCCTGCGTGACAGAGCGAGACCCTGTCTCTAAAAAAAACTTTTCTTTAAATAAAGCATATCCTGCCAGCTCCCGGAGGCCATGACCAGGTGGGCAACTGGTATCTCTCTGTGACCATCTTCTAGTACCTGGCTCTGTACACAGCAGGTGCTCATTAAATGCGCATTGCTATTTTCGTGCTTCAGGGCCATTAACTCAGTTAAGATAAACTCAAAGTAGGAAGGGATCTCCAAATCCTCGAAAACGGGGTGTCACCATGAGAAGCTGGGGGGGCATGCTGGTGGGGGGACATCACAGAGGCCTCTGAGCTGGAGAGTCCCACACTCTGTGACAGGCAAGGACGTGGGAGACTCTGCTGTGTGCCTGGAGGGGCCCTGCCAACTCACCAGGACCCAGATACCCACGAAAACACGCACACACGCCTCGCCCCACCCATCCCATGACAACAGACACACACCCCTTACCCCACCCATCCCGTAACAGACACACACCATGAAAATCCAAGAATGTGGCCGGGAGCATCTGTCAGAAAGTCAGCGAGACAGCAAGACGGCTTAGAAAGTCTTTTAAAGTCATAATTTATTTAAACAGTCTTGGGAAGGAGACCTGGGCAGGTCACCCACCTCTCTGAACCGTGACCGCCTCATTTACAAAACAGGACGGCACATGCCGCCCAGGACCCTGCCTAGCCCGGGGCAGCACGGGTAAGGAGGAGCAGCTGCGACTTCTCCTGAGCTCCATCACCTGGGCCAACTGACATCTTCCCTTCCCCCGTAGGAAACGTAAGTTTCCTGGACAGCAGAGAGTAGCCGCAGCGAGGCTGAAAGTCCCTCTCCCGAGCCTTGTTCATCCACATGTGGTGAAGAAAGTGGTTTCCTTACCTACGAATACACAGACGGGCTGTCCGGCCAACCAATACGGTGCGAGTTAAAGGAGCACCTGCAGCTGTCCCCATGGAGGCAACAGGTGCACAAAGGTGGGCATGACCAGCCCGCCCCACGCGAGAGGAGGGGAGAGCGGATGAGGCGATCGATCTCCACTGCAAAGGGCGAGACGTGGCAGTGTCCACACCGCGACCCTGGACTTGCTAACGTGCGCCCAGGGACACTGTGCTGGGGACACACAGCGCCTCCCCCAGCAAATCCTCACAGCACAGCCACGAAGTGGAGACTATGACTGTCCTTATCACAGAGACTGGGAACTAAGGCCCCGAAGGCCCTGGCTTACCTGGGAGGTGACAGTGCCAGGATTCAATCAGAGCATGTGGCCACACAGACACACCAACCCTTGACCATCTGGCCTCCCAAACCCCCCTCCCCTGGGCCAGGGGCAGCAGGACTCGAGGGGACCCTGTCAGTGTTGGTGTTGCTGCTCCGTCAATGGCTCCAGGGACCCCACAAGTCTGGAGCTGAACTTGCAGCAGACGCTGAGCAGAGCCACCTGCCACAGCCAGAAGCCCCGCCTCCTCCCACCCTGCCAAACCACAGCCGGGGAGGGCAGCTCCAGGCCCAGCCCCCTCTGTGCAGACCCAGCCCTGCCTCTGCCGGGAGCCCTGGCCTTCCTGCCAATCAGCCCGACCCCGCGGAGCCGCAGAGCAGCCCGCCTGGGCGGCCCTGAAGTTCAAACCACACGCAGGGGCTCCTACCGGAGCCAGCTGTTCACCCACACGGCCCGCTCCCTCGGTTTCTCTAGCCATGAAATGGGGAGAGCACTTCCCAGCCGCCAGCGCGGCTCCGGGCAGCACTCTGCAGCGGGCGCCCACCGCGGGCAGTTACCGCTGGGACAGTGGGGACGGCTGGGACGAGCTGAAGGATGGATGGCAGGAGAGCTCCCTTCCCGGCTGCCATTACTGAGTGGGAGGGCAGCCCCCTGCTCCCGGGGCCCTCCTTTGTCAGCAGCCACCCCATCCCGAGAGGCCCGATCTCCTAGGAAACACGGGCGTCCCAAAGGGCAGAGGCCTGGCGGGCTGGAGCGGCTGGGAGCCTGGACTCCCTCCATCCCGCCCTCCCCGCAGCGCGGCTGCCCAGGTCCCGCCGCAGAGCCGCCTCTGTCTGCAGTTCCGAGGGCAGCTGGGGAAGGGGCTGCGGCTGCGGGCAGGTCGCGCCGGGCAGTGCGGGCTGGACCGGGCGCCCCCTCCTCTCCCGTGGCTCCCCCCATCTCTGCAAAGCTGCTCCGGGTCGGGGTTTCGCGACCCCGGGAGGGCGGGACGGGACCTCGACTCTGCTCCATTCTTGGCCAAGTTCCCTCTACCGAGCCAAGAAAAGCAGCTCCGGCCGGCGCAGCGGACATTTTCCTGCCCGGCCCTGCGGCCACACGCGTGCCTCCTCCGCGACAAAGGCCACACTCAAGGGCCCGACGGAAGGGTGGGGGTGCTGGGGAGGCGACGGAGGCCCCTGCTGGCGCCCAGTCGAGCAGCCCTGGAGGCCTCTGAACCCGGGCTCAGGTCCTGGGGGAGGTGGAGGCCGACGAAGGGGCGCGACCCAGGCCCACCCGCTCCGCGCCCGCCCGAGGGCTCCCGCCTCCGCCCCAACCGGCCCCTCGGCCGCACCCGGGGCAGGCGCAGCAGTGAGCACTCCCGCCGGTCCTCCCGGCGTCCAGTCTTCAGTCGTAAAGCCCGAGGGTGCGACCCTCGAGGCGGCTCCCCGGAGCGGCAGGCTTCCTGGGGACAGCAAGGACAGTCGCAGGGCCCTGGGCCGGGAGAGGGGGCGGCAATGGCGGGAGTCTCCCCGCATCCCGGGAGGCTCACCCGAGGAGCGTGCGCACCCAAGCAGTACCCGCGGGCAGCGGAGGCTCGCCCCAGGCTTGGGGGACTTTGGCCAACTTCGCACCTCGGGAGGTCGCCACTCGGAGGAGCCGGCTCGGAGGCACCCGGCGCGCCCTCTCCCTCCCGCCCCTCCCGCTGCCCGCGACATCCCGCGCACGGCAGCCCCAGCCAGCGCGACCCGGCCTCCCGCGGCTGCGACCTCGGCGTTCCGGTAAGCGCGCCCGGAGGCGCGAACGCCCGAGCACCCGCGCCCCTCCCGCCGCGCCCGGACGCTCACCTGGGACATCTGCGGCCGGAAGTTGATGTCCTTTAGGTCGATGGAGCCGGGGCAGAGGTTGTGCAGCAGCTGGCACAGGAGGACCCCGTCGCGCAGCGCCTGCGCCAGGTCGAAGACCACGGCCGAGGGCCACACGACGCGGTGGTTGGGCGGCAGGACCTTGCAGTCGATGAGCCAGCGGCCGCACTGCCGCCACTGCTCCATGGCGCCCGCGGCGCCGCGGCTGGGCCGGCCCGCTCAGGGCAGCGCGCGAGCCCAAGTGCGGCTGCCGCGGGGCATCCCGCCTCCCGCGCGGGGCTCGTCGGCCGGGGCGGGGCTATATGCGGGCGGCCCCGGGTGCCCGCTGCGCCGCCGCGCGTCCCTCCTCTTCCTCCTCCTCCTCCTCCGGCTCCTCGCGGGCCGCCGCTCCCGCCCACGTGCGGCCGCGGGGAGGGCGCCGGGCAGCGCGCCGGGTCCCCCTTCACGAACTCGAGTGCCCGGGGACCCCGAGCCGAGCTCCGAGCCGCCCGCCGCCGCGGCGCTCCCCGATCCGCCCCGCGGGGCGCCGCATTCTGCGCTCTGGGCGCCCCGCGGCCGCCGCCGCTCCGGCCCCGCCCGAGACAAAGGCCCGGCGGGTCTCTCGCTCGCGCGTCCCGGGCCTGGGCCGCCCGCGTCGCCGCCGCTTTGTCCGCCCGCCCGCAGCTCCGTGGTCTGCGCCGGACGCTTCGACTCGCCGACTCCGCGGCTCCGGGGGCGGGGGGCGCAGGGGGCGCGGCCACGGCCTGGCGGGGCCGGGGGCGGGGCCAACGCACCCGCCTGGCGCCTCCCCGCGCCCCCAGCGCCGCCCCCGCTCCCACTTCCTGCCCCGCCGCAGCCCACGAAAGTTGCGGTGGGCGGGGCCTGTGCGCCAGCCGGGGTCCCGCCGGCTTGCTCCTGGGGTGCCCGGACTTCTTGGGCCCTTCTCCCGGAGCGAGCGACCGCGCGTGGAGTGATGGCCGGGCGCCCCTCCTGGGGGCCGCTGGACCTCCGCGGTGGTCAGGAGGTCGCCCCTGTCGCTCTGGGCGCCCTCGCATGGCCGTCCGGGAAGGACGGACCCCGGAGGGGGCACCGGGCTGGGCCGAGACTTCCCGCATCCCCTTGGTTCCTCGGGCTGCCCTGGCGGGGTCACTCGAGGCTGGAGGCACGGGGGCCAGGGCTCCCCAGAGCCCCCTTCCTGTCCTCTGCCCTGGCCGGGGGCCACAGGAAGCCATCCGACCCCACACAAAGGCCAGGATTCGCCTGGTTTGGGCCCAGAGCCCCGGCCACTGGCAGCTGCCCGGAGGGCAGATCCCGGGGTCCCAGACGGAATATGTGATAATAGTGGGCGAGAGGGAAGCAGCCCTCCCGCCCAGGATCCCAGCCACCCCTACGCTGCCTCGCCCTGATCTTTCTGGGCCACGCCCTGGGGGGGCCGCCGTCTGTCCAGCTGGCAGGGCCTGACAGTGGGAGGGGCTCCGAGGACATCAACAGCAGATTCTGCCATGGAAATTGTGGGTCTGGCTCAGCTGCAGGAGCCCGGGGTTCCCACTGCGGATGCTCTGGGGGACCCTGGCTCCAAGCCCCTCTCCGAGACTGGCTGAGTCACTGGGGTCCGGGTTGGGAAGGGGAGGCAGAGAAGGGGAGGTGACCCATCTGCCAAGGCCTCCCACCCAATGGCCCAGTCCCCTTCCCCCCTGGCTTGCATGGGCACGGGCCGGAGCAGGGTGGTTCCCCACTCACTGCAAACCCAGAGACGGTCCTCTGAGCCCAGGGGCCCTTCCTGGGGTCCGGTTCTGGGAATTGGCCTCTGCAGAGAGCCAGACCTGCCCCTTCTCAGCTTGAGGAAGCATGGGGTCCAGGCCTGGTGTGGCCCACAGACAGAAGTCAGGAGGGAGCTGGCCCCGCGGGGCTGACAGGTGGGCTGCAGCTGCTGTCTGGGCTTCCTCCTCGGAGGAAGCGGCAGTGGGGCTTTTGTGGATGTGCACAGGGAAGGAACCTTGGGGGGCAGGGGTGAGTGGGCCCTCCTTACCTGAGGATGATGGTGGACCTCCGGCACCTCCCTGAGAAATCCCAAAGCTAGGAGCGCAGCCCGAGCCCCAGCCCTCAGCACCCCAGTGCAGGGCCCTTGTGCAAAGCCTGGTCTCCGCTGCAGAGTGGGGAGGATCCCCCCTCTACTTGTCAGGAACGCCCAGAAAAAGCTAACCAGGGGCCTTGCACAGTGCCTGGGCAGAGGGGGCTCCGAGGGGAAGGGCTCCCCACCCTCCCAGCCCCTCGCCTGGGGCCCCATTAATGCCTGTGTCCCTCTCCCCAGGTAGCTCCCTCAGCAGGAAAGGGGCCTCTGTCCTCACTGCCCTTGGCCTGCCTGTCTGGGCAGGGAACCAACCCAGAGGACCAGACCAGGCCTGCAACAGGCACCACCACCCCCAACCCCGCCGAGCACGCAGACGTCCATCTGCCGCCCCCTGGCGGTGCAGAGTGTGCTGCCGCCCCCTGGCAGCCTAGCTGCTCCCAAGAGAGGGCACTGCCCGGGAAGGGGCTGCATCGGGAATCTGGGCTTTAGCTTGAGACCAGCCAAATCAGGAGACCCTGGCCAGCTATGGGGGGGTCCTGAGCCAATCACTAGGCCATCCTGATTGCCAGGTCCTGATCTGGACAATGGGGACATTCACCTGCCCTGCGTACCTCACAGGGTCCTTGGGAGGCTCTGCAGGCAGGACGGCTGTGAGTGAATGAATGAATGAATGAATGAAAACTGGCAGAAGCTCTCTGGAACGCTTAGTGTAGGTATAATGAGCACGCTCCAGGCACAGTGTGGAAGGGGACTGCTCGGACTTCTTGAGGGTTGCTTGCGGGAGCATGGCAATGTTTAATTCCTTCGTGGTTCAAAAGCCGACACAGGATTGTGTCGACTCAAAGCATACATCAGGGAACTAACCCAGGGGACGCTGTTCCAGAAGATCCTACCCCATCCACATCCTGTCGGACTGGGAGGCGTTGCCGGGACTGCCTTCTGCACACCTCCAGGGGGCGAGATTCCCATCGCAGACCACCAGTGAGCAGAGGAGACCTGGGGACAGGAGGTGCCAATACCAGCCACACTCCTGACATGAAGGAGGGCCACAGACAGGGGAGAGGGTGGGTGGGGTACACCTGGGGGAGCTGCCTAAAGGAGCTGAGACTTGGGTCAACAGAGATTGAGCACACTGGTGACGAGAGGGGTGACATGAGGGGTAAGCACAGGAGAGCTGTGTCCACCCGCAGTGGGGCTTGGGCAAGTGTTGGCTTTTAAACCACGAAGGAATTAAACTTCGCCCTGTCCCCGCGAGCAACCCTCAGCGAGTCCGAGCAGTCCCCTTCCACACTCTGCCTAGAGTGTGACCACTCTGAGCCCTCCCCCCAGGTCCGTGGCAGCGCTCCCTGGCTCCGAGCCCTCCGGCATGTCCAGCATGTGCGCCTCGGGGCCTTCGCACACGCCATCTCGCTGGCTGGGACCCTTCCTCACTTCTGAGCCCACCTTGCCTTTCTTCTCTACCCTGTGACCACCGTGTGCGTAGGCTGCTTTGTTCATCTCATCCCTCAGCATGTGTCCCCTCTGCTGTAGCGAGAGCCACCTCCAGCCTGTCCCGGCCTCAGGCCGGGCTCAGCACATAGCAGGTGTTCAGGAAATGCTGGGTGCACGTAGCACCAACGGCTTGGCAAATCACTGTGACTGTGATTTTAAAATCCAATATGTTCTTATGTAGAAGCCACAGACGTGTTAAACTGATTCAAAGGTTTTTAAAAAGGCAATACAATCTATGTATTGATCTGTGGCATATTTTAACATTATCACTATGTAAATCAACACCACACTGCATAAGATTTGCACTTAAATAGCACGTTGTCACCTTCAGCTCCTTTTGTTTTAACAGCATTAATAAATGTGATAGCCACTCCTGTGTCTTGAGTCTAAATGGCTGGCAGGAGAGGGTCACCTCCCATAAGCCTCCAGCCACTCCATCCACTCCAGGTGCTGGCCTTGTCCCCAGTGGCCAAGCACAGAAACTGACGCACGGAGCCCACCATTGAGCTGCCCAGGTCCAAGTGCGAGGCCTTGCTGGCACGTGTGCGCACACAAGTGAATACCGCTGTTGAGAGGGGTTTCCCTCCCGGGACCTTTTGTCTGTCCCTTGTCACACTGACGTGGAGGGCGGGGGCGGGCAGGTGGTGGGAGAACAGGAAATGCTGTGATATGTGAAGCATAGATGCGGAACCGGCAACAGAGCAGTGCCTTAAAACACACAAGAACGCGCACGCTTACATACCCCGCCGCAGTCCGAAACGGGCCCTCAGTGCCGACCGGAGCGGCAGAGGTGGGAAGTGGGAGCAGAGGAGCCAGAGTCCACGTCCAGGAGGGAAGCGTGGCTGGCAATGTTCCACATGCCCTCCAGCCGGGGAAGCCCCAGACAGGGACCGCTGGGGGAGGGGCTCAGGCAGAGAGGCGGCGGCTGCCGCGTGCGTGGCATGCGGGCTTCTGTGCCCAGCAGTGACTCAGGCCGCGAGCGATGCTCCAGCTGCAACTCAGCAGGTCCTTCCTGCTCCCGGGCTCGGGGCCAGGGGCACCCAGGCCCCAGGAGGGAGGTGCTGTCATTGGGTCTGTTTTACGGAGGAAGATGGTTCTCAGCGCTTGAGGGCTTGGCTGAGGTTATGTGACTGGCGGAGGCTGGATTTAAACCAGGTCTGATACGGAATCCATCTTCCGTGGTGCCTCCTGCCAAGTGATTCGCTTTTGTTTTCTGCTAATGATATAATGGCTGCGAGGGCGGCAGCCCAGGGGAACGCTTCGCCCTCAGCCGGTCACGTCCTCGTCACCGGGCAGCCGCGGGGCCTGGTTTCCGAACAGCAACGCGTGGGCCTCTGAGCGTGTTGCCTGACACAGTGGAAGGTCTCGAGAGCTTTTCACACACCCAAACGTCGGGGACCGTCCCTTACACACAGCCAGACGGGCGCTTTGTCAGCCCAGGTCTCCCCACAAAGCACCAGGACCTGCTGCGAGGTCTGGTACATTCATCAAGAGGCCGGAGGCCGAGGGGCCCTCGTTCCACAGCTGGGGGCCCGGGCACAGACCGAAGCTCCCCGTCTAAGGAGCCCCCCCCCAAAGACACTGCCTGTCCACACCCCACATCCCGCCACCCATCTCCCTCCCTTCCTCCACCCACCCGGCCTCCGTCTAGAAAATGTTTGCTGGCCACTGGGCTCAGCAACGGGGCGGGGAAGCGAATGGTTCGGCCCTTCCCAACGCGGCTGGGTGAAGGAATTATTCTCATGTCCGAACCATATGAA